TCACCACTGCGGCCGCCGGCGCCGTTCCGTCCGAACACCCAGTTGAAGTCGTTGGCAGAATCCGAGATCATCCCGAGCAGAAGAACAAACCCAACGCAAACCCTACCTCAGCCCTACAAATCAAAGGAGATGGAAAATCTCTCAGAGTCAAAACAGAAATCGGGTACAGAGACTTCAGTCTCGATGGTGTCTCGTATTCTGAAGAGGATGATCTCGAGGTTTTTTATCGTAAATTTGTGGAGTCGAGGGTTAATGGTGTTAAGTTGGGGCAGAAATGTACGGTCATGATGTATGGCCCAACGGGCTCGGGAAAGAGCCACACGATGTTTGGGTGTTTGAAGCATCCCGGGATAGTTTATAACTCCTTGAAGGGCATTCTGGATGAAGGGACTGAAGAGGAAGATGGAGAGAAATTGGCTCTGGGGACATTTGTTCAGGTTACTGTTTTGGAAATTTACAATGAAGAAATTTATGATCTGCTGTCAACGGGCACTGGGTTTGGTCTGGGTTGGCCGTCGAAAAACAGTTCTTCTAAGGTAAAACTATATTTCCTTTTTTGGTTGTATGAGATTTTGGATAAATCATTTTAACTGTGCTCGGTGGTTCTATGAAGTTGGTTGTTTTTAACTTTTATTGTCTCGTAGTTTACTTAACAAAGTAAAGTTTTAATCATGTGAACATTGAGTTCTATGGTAGTCTTCAATCATAATTACTTGTTATTTTGAGATCACTGGTTGAATAATTTTTGGGTTCGGCACTCTGCAGGTATTTTATAGGTCATTAATTTGATAATGAGATCAAACTCTAGTCATCTTGCGATGCTTAGTCTGCTAATTTTGATCATGTATCAACAACTTCACGATTTTTTTCCTCAGGTGAAATTGGAAGTGATGGGAAAGAAGGCAAAAAATGCAACATTCATTTCAGGAAATGAGGCTGGAAAAATACTGAAAGAAATTCAAAAGGTCGAGAAGAGAAGGATCGTCAAAAGTACACTGTGCAACGAACGGAGCTCTCGAAGCCACTGCCTGGTATGATTTTCAAATCTACTCTCATCATTTACCTGACTGACTGATATGTTGAAATCCACTCACTATAAGAGTCATCTTTTTCCCACAAAAAATGCAGATAATTGTAGACGTACCTACTGTGGGAGGACGTCTTATGCTCGTGGACATGGCAGGTTCGGAAAATATAGAACAAGCAGGTCAAAATGGACTGGAAGCAAAAATGCAGGTACATTTTTGTTGATTTGTAATGTTCTGAAATCTAGTGAGACTTGATACTCCTCAATCACGAAAAATGCGCTAGCCTCAGTACATTCAAATGTGTGCAGACTGCTAAGATCAACCAGGGCAATATAGCACTAAAGAGAGTTGTCGAGTCGATCGCAAATGGTGACTCACATGTCCCATTTAGAGATAGCAAGTTAACTATGCTTCTTCAGGTATACCTTATCTCATTTGTTTTAGAGTTTATGAATCATTTTGATATTTCTGAAATTGATTTGGCCTTTTCTTTTTAAAAACAGGATTCCTTTGAGGATGACAAATCCAAAATCTTAATGATATTATGCGCGAGTCCAGACCCAAAGGAACTACACAAAACCATTGCAACCTTAGAATACGGTGCAAAGGCCAAATGCATAGTCAGAGGTCCTCACACTCCTGTTAAGGAAAAAGGGGCCGAAGATTCTTCATCTGCAGTGATTTTAGGGTCGAGAATAGCAGCCCTTGATCAGTTCATCTGCAAACTGCAATTGGAGAACAAAATGAAGGAAAAAGAGAAGAATGAGGCACAGAAAGAGTTAAAACGTAAGGAGGAAGAAGTTTCTCAACTGAGAGCAAAGCTCGCATTTGTCGAGGGACGAGCGAGCGAGGAGGAGATTAACTTGAAAGTCAATGAACGGACACTGCTGCTGAAAAATGAGCTTGAAAGGAAAGTACTCGAGTGCCAGAAAATGGCCACTGAGGTTGTAGAGATGGAAAGGAGAAAGATGGAGGAAAAAATGTCCCAGCAGCAGAGAGAAGTCGAGTTTCTAAGGCAGCGTTTGGAGGATATCGAGAAAGAGCTCCTTCGTAAATCGAGGGCCGGGGGCGAGACAGTAGAAATTGATGGTGGGAATTTCATGAAAAGGCTGCTAGAAGTCTGTAATGAGGACTCGGATATGGTGAAGTCGATGGACCTGTCCAAATCCATCGACATGGAGACTACTACTTACACTGCTGTTTCGAGTTGCATTAACAGCTTCAATGAAGGAATGCATGGTTTCTTGCCCAACAAGGCATGCCTGACGACCTTGTATGAGGAGGATGAGTATGAAAACGAGGATGATGATGAGGTTCAGAAAGAGGTTATCGAGGAGAAAAAGATGGTAGTCACACCAGAAGCATCTTTTCCGAATAGTGAGCTTGAAAATCATGAAGATGCAGCCAGTTCCCGTCAACTAAGGATTCAGAATATTTTCACCCTCTGCGGGAACTATAGAGAGCTCTCTCAGAAGGATAATAGCATCAGCAATGTAGATGATTGTGGTTCGGGAATAATGGCTGACAAGGTCTCTCGACTTCAGGCGAACGAGTTGAAAGATGTTTTCTTGTCGGATAAACTTGCAATGATGGATCAGAATATAGGACTGGAGGATGATCTTGTGAAGGATCTTAAGGAAGAAGATAGAAATCCTTTGGATGATGAGAGTTTTAATGGTGATGATGATGGTGTTGACGTGCATGTGAAATGGGAGGCGTCTAAGGAGAATACGGGGAAGTTTATCACGACTATGAAGGTTTCCAAGGATTCGAGTCTTGCTGATTTGAGAAAGCTGATTGAGATTCATCTCACTGGGGAAGCTTTCACTTTTCTTGTTCTTGGGGTATGTTATTCCTGCTGCTTTTGCATATAGTCTGGTAGTGGATTTTTAAACTTCTGGTTCACCAATCTTATGAATTCGGTGTTTAAAACGCATTTCATATAATTAGTGCTTTTGCCATTCAAAAGGTTCCAAAAATGATAAACATTCAAGGGTAATATTTTGTTGGTATTTTTTTTTTTTTTTTTTTCANCGTCAGGGGTTTCTTCTATATTATATATACTCCCTTGCATTTATGTAGTTAAACCTACATTTGTGACACAAATTCTTCTGTATCCAAATATTATTCAGGCAAGTAGCTTTCATAGTAGTAGCTTAACTACATATATCTTGCCTGTTCATAGACTAGGATTAGTTAGTCCTCACACTCTGCAGATCAAGTAAAGGATTTTCCTGAGCACATCATAATTTCATACCAAGCTATATATATATATATACATAGCCTTTTACATTTTCTTGTGTTTACAATTGTCATTACTTGATTAGTACTGAATGTGAATGCCTTTGACTTGACGCACATTTTCGTATAATAAAACAGGACCCATCTGGGGCACCAGTGCCCAAGGAAAAAGAAGGCACTATACAGACAAGCAAGCTCCCCGTTTGCAACAATCAACTACGTGGCGGTTATCTAGCTTGTTTACGTCCTATCAAGACGAGCCAGTGGCCTAGTAATCGCCAGCCGTTTAGTCCTCTTGAGAACAAGTTGGTGCCTACAACTCCAAATTCACAGGTAACAAAGAAAATTGACGATAGCTTTTCACCTGAAATAGCTCCACATTTGATCTCTACGCCTTTTATCACTGTCAGAAGATATTAGGTATTATGTGTAAGTGAATCTGTGCACAGTTGAGTATTGACTTGTAGCTATGTACTCCTGGTGCATTTGAATCTGTTGTTGGCCTAGGGGCTGCTTGCTAAAGACATGGAAAATGTGTATTGTTTTGTTGATGCTCTTATATTTGCGTTTGCTGCCGGTAGTAGTTTGGGTTTCAGTAGTTTTTTATTTTGTTTTGGAGCTGAAGCAAATGTTATAACTTGGTATGTGGTTTTTCAGTGGCTAGAATTGAAAGTGTGAGCCATTTTTATTAACTATCTGTTGTAAATATTGTACATAAAAATAGTAAAAATATTATCATAACATTTTCGAAAAGTGAAAAATTATAGTCCTCGTTAACTCTCTTTAGAAGATGGTATCTTGTTCGTCCCCGAAATGTAACACCTTTTTGCTTTTGGAATCAATTTTGGTCATTAAACTTCTCAAACTCAATCATCTTTGGTCCAAACATTAAAAAAAATGTTGAAGTCGCACACCATTTGTCGCCCACCGCTGCCTCCTTTAGTGGTCGATTTCAACAAATCATATACATACCATCTTGAAACTCTTGACTCGACCTATCCAACCGTTACTTTTATTTTATCAGTTATAATACTCTAGAAACATAAAAATCGCCGTTTAGGTTTTAAAATAATTTGGCAAAATGAATAATTTGGCAAAATGCGCCTGAACTAAGTTCTACCAAAAATCCCACCGTTGGATTTTCATGAAAAATATACATATAGAAAGCCAATTTCTAGAGGAACCCCAAACAGTGCATCTCGATTATCAGTCAGTAAATCCAGTTATTCGAAACCTTTAACAATGATTTTGACGAATCGTCAAGACATCACAGTAAAATAAAAGATATTGTTGCTTCAAAATGGTATATAATTTGTTAAAATCCGCTATCGGAAGTGGCGGCAACCGTCAATTTTAACAG